TATCTCCATGTGAATTATGATTTCCTAGTTCAGGATGAATTTTCACTAGGTGAATATTTATTTGGAGCATGGATCGATTGTAGTTTAGATAACATCATTTGAGGTGTTTACACCCCTAAAGTGTAGAATGCAAGTGTGCTGTAGCTGTGAGAACATTCCGCTGCTCACTGGGTTTTGTCCTTGTCAGATCCTTGCGCTGCTGGATGCTCTGAGTACAGTGCACAGTGAGAAGATGAAGAAGGCCAAGAAGCAGCGGCATCTGCACAATAAAGAGCACCTCAAAGTGAAGCAGAAGGAGGAGGAGGAGAGGCTGAAGCGACAGAAGGACCTCAGGAAGAAGCTCTTCCGAATTCAGGGTCAGAAGGAAAGAAGAAATCAAAAGTCCAGTCTGAAGGGAGCTGAGGAGCAATTGAAGTGAGCCTTTAGAATGGAGGGACTGTCCTTTGGATCTGCAGAGATGAATGGTTTCAAATATCGTAGTACTTGTAAGTAACAAGTCAGGGGACGAGAGCCCAAGAGGGACCTCTTTATTGAATGCATCACCCATATGATGCCTTCAACAGGAGAAATGGGGAAGACTGTGCTGCTAAGACACATGTTCATTCTCAGCATCCTAGTGGTGTAGAGATTTAAAGCAGTGGAATTTATGGTTATGTGGATTCTCTCACTTTCCTCTACCTGTCTCAGTTTAATTATTTTGTGCTACAAAAATATCATTAAAATATTTTCCTGTTAATTTTGGCTTAGTAGTTTTAATTAGGGATATATGCCTGACATTTGATTGTGGATAATTGCTTATACTACCACCTTCGTGATGAGTCTTCCAGAAGGGAAAAAAATATTAACTCGAACCCTCATCTTTAATATTAAATTTTAGAGAAGGGTATGTAGTTGTTTTCATGATTTTTTTGTCTGTTGTTGTATACTTTGATCACTGACCCTAATGGACATTTTATATCTTATTACATATTTTATACATATTAGTGTAATAGCTAGGTAACTGTCAATAATTTCTTAAGGCTTTAAACCGAGAGATTGCAGTCTTAGGTACATATAGGGACCAAAAAAATAGTATATATTAATGAAGTAGGCTTCTTGTAATGTGCTCATGTATTACACTCACATGCTCTTTTAAAATTGAACTTTTTATTATTGTAATCATTTGTATATTATTTTATATATAATGTATATATGATTATATGTTGAGGTAATCATAGATTCACATACAGTAGTACACTTTGCCCACTTTCCCCCAATGGTAACATTTTAGAAATATCACAATCAGGATATTGATATTGATACAATCCACTGATAACATCAGATTTCCCAAATTTCACTTATACTTGTAGGCATGTGTGTAAAAATATGGAACACTTCATGAATTTGCATGTCATTTTTGCACAGGGGCCNACAGTAGTACACTTTGCCCACTTTCCCCCAATGGTAACATTTTAGAAATATCACAATCAGGGTATTGATATTGATACAATCCACTGATAATATCAGATTTCCCAAGTTTCACTTATACTTGTGGGCATGTGTGTAAAAATATGGAACACTTCATGAATTTGCATGTCATTTTTGCACAGGGGCCTTGCTAATCTTCTATGTATTATTCCAATTTTAGTATGTGTGCTGCCAATGTGAGTACCATGTTACCTTTTAAAACATTGTATAGGCCAAAGGAAATTCTCCTGAGGCCCACCCATGGGTTTTCTGGCAAGATTGTATATAGTTGGCATAGTCTGGAAGGCTTTATAAAAGCCTAAAACTGTCAGCGGGCAAGCGCCTTGGCCTTGGACTTTATAAGAAGTACTGGGGAGGCGAGAATCCTGCCAGGTCTGGGTCTCCCTGGGAAGTGACAGTTGGAACATGCTGAGCAACTCTGGGTATAAACCTTCCTCTATTCTTCAGGAAAAATTAAGAATATCAGCATCCAATATGCTGATAGGTCTGGGGACTGATGCATAATAAACCCATAATATTATAAAATAATGTAAAGCTAATTTCTATTATGTTATATAATTTCTAATTGATACATTTTAGCATCTTGTGAGAAGTGTCTGTGCTGCAAGGAAAAGGCCCTGCTGACTTCCTTGCAGGTGAGAGACTCCAAGCCCTTCCACTGTCTTTCTTTTGCTGTGTTAAATTTTATCTCACTCCCTTACACTTTGGGAATGTTACAGTGGGGTTGCAGCTTCCGCACTTGTCACTGAGAGCCGACCTCAGTCCTCGGCATTGGGCAGTAAGCCTGAAGCAGCCCTTCCCACCATTTTCTCCTGAGAATATATGTTGCTTCCCCCCAATTTTAAAACATGAAACTATAATTCAACTAAAAATATGCGAGGCACTGTAAGNTATTTGTGCAGTATCTTTGTTTCAGTACCGGCCTATACTGCACAATGATTCACTTAGGGTAGACAGCATAGTTTTGTACCTATTGGTCCACCACTTTTCCTCCTGGCCCCCCTGAACTCTGGTACCATTATTCTACTTCCTACTTCTATGAGAACTGCTGCTTTTTTTTTTTTCTCTTTTTTTTTTAAAGATTTGACTTCTCTTTTTTTTTTAAAGATTTGACTTATGAGTGAGATCACGCAGTATTTTTCTTTCTGTGCCTAAATTACTTCACTTAACATGATGGTTTCCAGTTCCATCTATGTTAATATAGCTGGGTAGTATTCCATTGTGTATAAATACCACAGTTGTTTTTTTTTTTATTCATTCATCCATTGATGGACATTTAGGTTGATTCCATCTCTTGGCTATTGTGAATAGTGCCGCAATGAGCCTGGGAGTGCAGGTGTCTTTTTGATATATTGATTTCATTTCTTTTGTGTATACCCAGTAGTGGAATAGCTGGATCATAAGGTTGATCTATTTTTAGTTCTCTGAGGAACTTGAGTACTTTTTCCCACAATGGCTATACCAGTTTACACACCCACCAGCAATGTAGGAGAGGTAGAAGTGTAGGATGAGGAAAAAAGGGTTTCTTCGCATCCTCGCCAGCATCTGTTATATTTGTTGATAATAGCCATTCTGACTGGAGTGAGGTGATATCTCATTGCGGTTTTAATTCGCATTTCCCTGATGATTGCTGATGTTCAGAATTTTTTCTTGTGCCTGAGAAATGTCTATTCAGGTCCTTTGCCCATTTTTTAATTGGGTTATTTGTTTTTTTGCTGTTGATTCGTGTGAGTTCCGTATGTATTCTGGATATTAGTCCCTTTTCTGATCTGTGGTTGGCAAACACTTTCTCCCATTCTGTAGGTTGTCTCTTCACTTTGTTGATAGTGTTCCTTGTTGTACAGAAGCTTTTTAGTTGTATTATCTTTTAATTTCATTTTTCCACAAACTTTTTGAAGTGTACTTGTATATGTATGTATAAATCATATCTGCTAATATTAAAAATCATTGTTTATCATATTTGGAGAACAAGGGAAATGAAAATCTTGCATATCAAGATTATTTAAAACTGAAGTTAGGAAACCTCTAATGTCTGAAAGTAACCATAAATGGTATCTTGCATGTAGAATTTTTACTGGTTAAGGTCTAGCTGGCCAGGTTAGTAAAATATACATGTGCGTATCTTTTGCAACTGTGAAGTCTGCCTCTGTTTTAGAGGAAGGCAGTATATCAAAATGGGGAGTAGATTGGAAAAGTTTGTAAATTATTTGTCAATACTAATGCCTTATTCATTTGACATTGTCAGCAAGTGTTTTGCAAAAGTAAATTCCAACAGAGTGTGAGTTCCATGAGAGCAGAAAGTGGCTCACCTCCTTGTGAAGCAGGGAACCCTGAGCATTTTCTGATGGTTAAACTTGCCCCCTTCCACTGGAGAAACTGTTTTAGAAATTTTATGCTTGGCTGTCTTAGTCAGAAACTTTAGCTTCTGTAACCTAACTTGCTTCCTGCACCCCTGGGCTAAGGAAAGGTAACAGCGGTTTTGCACCGTCCTAAGGACCAAATGCAAATTTGGCTCCAGAACTGACCAATGAGCTATGTCTCATAGCCAACCAATCCAAATTAACAGACTTGCACCCCTCATTTGCATAAGAGGACCTAAATGAGAACTTGGATGGGAAGTTTTGGCTATATAAGGTTGCCCCTTTCCTTCATTTGGGGAGACACTATCCTGAAGCTTGTGCTCTCCTTGCTTGCAAGCAATAAAGCCCCACAACACAAAAAAGAGCTGTAACACCAGAAAGAGCTGTTAACTAATAAAGAGCTGTAATACCAACGTTGGTCTTGGATTCCTCTGTGCAAGCAACCTTGCAATACTTGGCACTTAGAGTATAGCCATTGAGCATAAAATAAGGGCTTAATAAATATTTGCTTGGAAGGAAGAAGGGAGCGTACTCCAGATAACTGAAGTCTGCTATGCAAAGTAAATATTCACTCTCTAAAATATTTCAATAATTCTTATAGAAACCCTTATAAATTGCAAAAATAATTTTTATTGTAAAGTAATATATTTGACAGAAATTGGGAATTGAGATAACCACTCATTTTTATACCTTACTTTTCTTCTTTTCTTAAACACATAAACTTGCTTAAGTTTGACAGGCCCACCGTTTCAGGAATTAATGTTTGAGTGAGGAAGAAAGCCATATGGTCTGTATTCAGCTCTCTGGAGACTTCAGAGCTTCCCCCGTTGATGGGGAGAGAGCATTTACTTAGTTGCCCTTAGTGCTTACTCCTCTTATGTAGAATTTTACCAGTTTCAGATATTTTTTGAAAAGTATTATTCAGAATCTACCTTAAGTACATTGAATTTTATTTGCCACTCCTTAGTTTTACCTAGTTTATTTCACTGTTTTAAAAATGTTATTATACCTTTTTGAAATCCTTAAACTAATGAGATAAAAAGCTGAGATATTGGACATTTAAATTCCAAAGTTATGAAAGTGTTAGCTTTTCGTATTGGGGGATAGTACCTTATGATTAAAAATTAGGTAAACTTTGATTGGGTGGGTATTTGGAAGAATATTTGAAATCTTGCTTTAAGCATAGTTAGGGAATTCTAAATTAAGGTTGCCACTGGTATGTAGAAGGAAGGACATGTTTCCTACATTTGGACCACATTGACAGTAACTTTTTTGAGATCTTGTTTTTTTTTTTTTTTTTTTCAATAAGTAAGCACAAATATGCATAACATAAAACTTTACATTTTAACAATTTTAATTATATGATTCAGTGGCATTAATTATATTTACAGTGCTGTGCAACCATCACCACCATCCATCTCCAGAACTTTTTCATCATCCCAAACTGAAACTCTAGCCGTTAAATAACTATTCGTTCCCTCCTCCCCCCATCCACTGGCAACCATCATTCTGTTTTCTGTCTCTATGAATCAGACTACTCTAGATAGTTCTCATAAATGGAGTCATACAATATTTGTCTTTTTGTGTCTGGTTTATTTCACTTAGCATAGTGTCTTCAAGGCTCACCCACATTGTAACATGTGTCAGAATTTCCTTCCTTTTTAAGGCTGAATAGTATTGCCCTGTATGTTCAGTCGCGCTGCCTAACAACGTTTGGGCAACAGTGGACTCATATACAACAGTGGTCAGAGCAATGGGCTGGGTGTGTAGCTCGCTGTATCGTCTAGGTTTGTACGTTTGGGCTATTGTGAATAATGCTTTCATGAACATTGGTGTGTAAATGTCTGTATAGACCCTTGCTTTCAATTCTTTTGTGTATATGCCTAAAAGTGAAATTGCTGGATCAAGT